ACTCCATATTACATCAAGTGGAAAAGGTGGTATTGCATTGCATCATGGGAGGTCCTGCGGCTGTACGGCCTTTATTTCTATACAGCCGCTTCACTGGGGTCACCTTGGCTCCTGCCTTTATCTCCTTCTCTCCTTCTCTCTGGCGTTATAAATATTGTATAGGCACATTTCAACGGAAAGAGCCGGAAGGTAAATCAGCCAATCAGAATCCACCAGCGGTCATTCAACACCGGAGAGAGCGGGTTGTCATCGTGGACCTAGTATTTTCTCATCTCATGTATCTTTTTGGTATTCATACGTGTCTGTATGGTAAGTCTGGGCGTCTCTGCTCAGACTGATGCCCCTAGGACCCGGCAACGGATGAAGCGGAAGAAAAAATAAATTGTATGGTGGACGTTTCTGTATGTTTACGTATAGTTTATGTCTGTCATAAAAAATATAAAAAATATGGAATTATCTTTTACTATGGTAAAAGATAAGAGTGGTTCTACATTTAACTCATTTTCCAGCAGAGTATATCAAGTGCTAGTGCAGGCCTTTACTGTAATGTACTGTACTGTACTGTACTCTACTGTACTTTACTCTACTGTACAGTGCTCTCCTCGACTCGACTCGACTCTACTCTACTCTACTCTGCAGAAAGGAATTTTGCATGTTGCAGCGCACATACAGGACAGGAGTAAGAGCACACATGGAGCACACAAAATATACAATATAAATAGCTATGTTTCTTAACTAGCTGTAAAGGCTTCAATATATATATATATATATATATATATATATATATATATATATATAATTCTCACCTTTGGCCCTCCGCGGGCGGTTATCCCTCTCTTAGCTCGGGTCCTCTACCAGAGGCCTGGTAGCTTGCACATTTCTGACCGAGATGTCCGAGGTTGTTCCGGGGATCCGCTGTAACCACTTCTAGCTTCGGGGTCACTGCCCCGAGTGCACCGATCACCACGGGCACTACTGTCACCTTTACCCTCCAGGCCCTCTCCAGCTCCTCTCTGAGACCTTGGTATTTCTCAAGCTTTTCATGTTCTTTTTTCCAGATGTTACCATCGCTTGGAATTGCCACGTCCACCACCACGGCTGTCCTCTGCCCTTTGTCCACCACCACGGCTGTCCTCTGCCCTTTGTCCACCACCACGGCTGTCCTCTGCCCTTTGTCCACCACCACGGCTGTCCTCTGCCCTTTGTCCACCACCACGGCTGTCCTCTGCCCTTTGTCTACCACCACAATGTCAGGTTGGTTCATTACCATTCGGTCGGTCTGTATCTGGAAGTCCCACAGGATCTTTGCACGCTCATTCTCCACCACCTTTGGAGGAGTTTCCCACTTAGACCTTGGGGTTTCCAGCCCATACTCTGCACAGATGTTTCTGTACACTATGCAGCCACTTGGTTATGGCGTTCCATGTAGGCCTTCCCTGCCAGCATCTTGCACCCTGCAGTTATGTGTTGGATCGTCTCAGGTGCCTCTTTGCACAACCGACACCTTGGGTCTTGTCTGGTGTGGTATATCTGGGCCTCTATTGCTCTGGTGCTCAGTGCCTGTTCCTGTGCAGCCATGATGAGTGCCTCTGTGCTGTTGTAGGCCAGGCATTTCTAGCCATTGGTAGGACTTCTTGAGATCAGCCACTTCTGTTATGCTCCGGTGGTACATGCCGTGTAGGGGCTTGTTCTCCCATGATGGGCTCTCCTCCAGCACCTCCTCATCTCGCCACTGCCTGAGACATTCACTGAGTACGTCATCCGTTTTGGCCTTCTCCATGATGTAGTTATGGAGTTTGGATATTTCGTCCTGGACAGTGGCTCTCACACTCACTAGTCCTCGGCCTCCTTCTTTACGGCTTACGTACAGTCTCAGGGTGCTGGATTTGGGATGGAACCCGCCATGCATGGTAAGGAGCTTTCGAGTTTTAACATCCGTGGTCTGAATCTCTTCCTTTGGCCACCTGATTATTCCTGCAGGGTATCTGATCACTGGCAGGGCGTAGCTGTTAATTGCCCGGGCCTTGTTCTTGCCATTGAGCCGGCTTCTTAGGACCTGCCTTACTCGCTGGAGGTATTTGGCAGTTGCCGCTTTCCTCGTCACCTGTTCGAGGTTGCCATTTGCCTGTGGTATACCGAGATACTTGTAACTGTCCTCAACGTCTGCTATTGTTCCCTCTGGGAGTGAGATCCCTTCTGTGTGGACTACCTTGCCTCTCCGAGTCACCATCCTGCTACATTTCTCGAGTCCGAATGACATCCCGATGTCATGGCTGTAGATCCTGGTTGTTTGGATCAGAGAGTCGATGTCTCTCTCGCTCTTGGCGTACAGCTTGATGTCATCCATGTAGAGGAGGTGACTGATCTTTGCTCCGTTCCTGAGGCGGTATCCATAGCCAGTCTTGGCTTAGAGGGTTGAGGCCTATGCAGAACAGTAGTGGGGACAGAGCATCTCCTTGGTAGATACCACATTTGATGGTCACTTGTGCGAGCGGCTTGCCATTTGCCTCAAGGGTGGTCTTCCACATTCCCATCGAGTTTGCAACGAAGTCCCTTAGAGCCCTGTTGATATTGTACAACTTCAAGCATTCCATGATCCATGTGTGTGGCATTGAGTCGTAGGCTTTCTGGTAATCAATCCAGGCTGTGCACAGGTTGGTGTGTCGTGACCGGCAGTCTTGGGCGACTGTTCTATATATATAGTGCCAAGTTATATACTGTACAAATAGGGCAGGGTAATAAGTAGATAAAGTGACATTCAGTGGACATTCTGAAATTGCAGTATTGCACATTGCACATGTACACTGTATTTACGAGGGTTGTATACATAGTTCCCACAGACCAATGAATGTCACATGACCTCCTCGGAGACGCCATCTTTGATGGCACGCTGCTGTGTTTGTGCATTCCATTAAACAGAAGAATGAGAATAAATGTAGATATTCAAACGCAAATTGGAAAAAAGGGCAACTTTTGAGCAAATAATTGTATATTAATACAATGGCACCACAGTTTAACGTGCTACGGACATGTTTTACATATTTGATCAAATTATGCAGCAAAAATTAACAAGCAATGCAAACATTTCTCAAAAACTTTAGATTTAATACCAGTTGGAGTTTCTTGCCTGTTTATCTTCGCAAGCCATAACCTCCGTGGTTGTTCTGACAAAAGCTTATTCTTCTCACATTCATGAAGTCTAATGATGGGTATACTGTAAAATCCAAGTTTAACGGAACCTCCGGCACGATTTGAACATCCATTGACCCAGCAGGAGATGACCATTTTCAACTTTATCACGACATTAACACGTTTCAGCTTCTTTTTCTATTGTTTTACCCACAGAATGCCAAGACAAATGGCGCCGGGTCGGCAAATCCCCGTATGTAGTGACGTCATGTGGGAACTATGTATAAGTCTGTCACTGAAGCTGCGCTCCAGAGTGGACAGAGTGAGAGTAAAGGATAGTACGACTGGTGGAAATGGGGCAGTAGTTTTGTGGTTTTGAGATAGATAGTCAGATAGATAGAGAGAGAAATAGATCATTCTGAAAAGCCAACTATAGTAATAAGTATGTAATAGGAGTAGGTCAACAGAATGTACTGATTTGTGCAATAAGCCTCTGATGTTAGCATGGCCTGAGCTAAAAACAGAAAAAACAAATCTCCAGAGGCTGAGACTGTGTGCTTTGACTCCTGGCCGTGGATCCAGGCTCTCCCTGACAGCCTCTTTAGCCTCTGACTCAGGCACATTTGGATTATTTAAGCATGTTTTATGCCGATCTGATTACTAATCCTGCCGGAGCGCTCTCTGCACGCCGGGCCAGACACCGTGGGAGAATGCAAAGTGCGGGTGAGTTATTCCGAGCTCGTCCCAGACACAGCTGTGCGGGAAAAAAAAACATTTGCATACACGACAAAACGCCAGGTACTTTGTGTAGAGAGAAACCATCGCCGGAATAACAGCAGCGTTTTACATAATCGAGAGCAGCAACTGAGAGTGGACTTTTGGACCAGATGTACGGACGAAGAAGAAGAAGAAGACCGAGAGCAGTCAAAATGGCGGCTTTTGGCTTTGAAAGTGTGATTATCCAGCTCATGTGCAACTGAGCTTTTCTGTCTCTGTAAGTGGTTTATTTTGGTAATTTTGTTTCTGAAATCATCTATTAGTTTAGAAATGTGCTGGTCACTATAGCGACGCATGTTTTTCCTGTTAGCCGTTAGCATTTATTTTTTTGCATTTAGCAACAAACTGTTATAGCGTTTAGTAAAAGTGAGTAAATGTAAAAACTTACTTAATTTCAATGCTGCTGGTGGAAAACTTTTTTTGGAAGAACTTCTCAGACGAAGAAAATAGATGAAGAAACAAAGAATTAAAGTACTTATTTGTTGTTGTATATTTAGTTTTTTTTGACACTTATGAAATTTAAATTCGGTTGGTATTGCGGTTAAAGGGGATAATGGTTTGTGAGTGGATTTTTGAGGTTATGAAGAATTTTTGCCTTTCTGATTGATTGGTTGTTTAATGTTATTTTTGTTATACATTTTTGTGTTTTTATAGTTTTCATTTTAATAGTTTTTTTAGTTTTATTCTTGTTGGAGCTAAGGAGAAGTTTCTTGTGCATATATTATACTGGATTGGATTTTGTATTTTTTTTATGTATGTTTTTGTTTTTTAGTGTATAGTTTTTAAAATATAAAAAATAATAATACAAAAGAAAATAAATAAAGTACTACTATATTTAGTACAAAAAAGAAAATTGCCATATAAGCATTGGCCAATCAGAAGCCTTTGTTCACAGGGATACTCTAGCAGGCTTTAGCAACCATCTTAACAACACATCTGCTCCCGTTACAGCCCAAAGCTAATCCTGTCAGAAACAAAAGCCCATATAAGGAAATTAGCTCCAGTTAGCTTGTGTTCCGCATCAAGGCTAACACTACGGTGATATCACACTCGGCCGGTTCACTGCTAGCATACAGATGATTTGAGGCACTGACCGTTGAGCCACTTGGAGTTGTACTGGGCGGTGCGCAGCGGCGGCAGGTGGCCCAGGCTGCGGTAGATGACGGGGTCTCGTCCGGAGAAGTCGATGACGGTGGCGGCGTACAGCTCGCCCGACTCGGTGACGACGGCCGTGGAGTTATGGCGAGGGTCGTACGGACAGCGCGCCACGCCGTTCACACGCTCCAGGACGCGGCTCATGTTTCCCACCTGCAAAACAACACCAGGGTTCACTCATCATTACCATAGTTTCAGTTTCAGTTGCATTCTGGGAGTTTGAGTAGATCACAGTAGATTCCATGAAAATACACACTGAGAAAAAATACTAAAAACTAAATACTTATTATAGTATATTTTTACTGTTTTAAAAATTGATTCACCAATTCTTGGGTTTCATTAAACTGGCCTGTAGGGGGCGAATGAGCAGAGGTGGGACCACTCAGTTTTGCTCCCATTGAAAACCATGTAAAGTCTGTTTTGGAGTCAAAAGGCTCTCCTCCTGTGCGGTGTACGCTTGTTGTAACAGTCTTTATCGGGGACACTCAATTCTAAGGGAATACTAAAAAATATTTCTCAAAAGAGTCTTGATTTTGGGCATTTTTGAAAAAAATAAATAAAATAAAAATAAAAGAAATTGCTGTGTTTCATTGGGGTGGCCTGCAGGGGGCGCTTATCTGGGAAAGCCTTGATCCACCTCGCCCGCCTCATTCCAGTGATTTGTTCAAAGTGTCCTCCTTTATATGAGATCACAGTTGGAACATGAACAAACTCTTGTCTTTCTCTCTATTTGTGCGGTTGCTACAAGCGTACACCGCACAAAAAGATGGCATTTTGACAGCACTTCTTCTTCTACTATATCTCTGTGTATAAACCCGGCAGACTGCACCGCCAGGATACGTCACGTCCTGTCCTACGTTTGTTATTCACTGGCACTGCCCTGACGTCAGATGAAACCCAAGAATAAGACAAAGCCATTTAGTTTTATTTCAAGAACGTTCACTTCATTTTCTCATTTCAAGGGAGACATTTCTTGTATCTTTTTAAAACCAGACAATTTTTGCTTGGTCTCATTGGCAAATCTTGTTTTAAGGCTCAGTCAGAACTTGCTCAAATAAAGATACATTTTGACTTAACTTGAGCAAATTTGGAGTTAATTTCCATCACTTTTTGCAGTGAATACATTCTGGTAAAAAAGGTTTATTGCTGTCAAGTTTTTGATGATTTCACTGATTCTTAAGACCCATAGAATATTATTTCCTAAGACTATGTGAAATGTGAGAACAGATTCTGAAAGACTGGATTGTCTACTTTGATCAGCAAAAATAAGTTTGTTTCTAGCTATTTTCATTGTCCTGTAATCCCCAGTCGAAAAGAGGGTCTAAGACAAATATGTCATTGGCAGTCAATGAGTTCATCGAATGATCATGTTGTCCACAGACGGGCAGCACGTGAATATAAGGAGCAGGTTTTCATGTTGATCACTTTCACTTTTTGTTTTGTTTTATGTTTACAAGAGTGGTAAAGGATGGCAGAACACAAGGAGTGGTAAAAGTTTTTGGAGTGTCAATTCCTGATTCTCACACTCTTCCGTTGGTTGGAAGTAAATCGTCTTTTTTATGTAGCCCTGTTCACTGCCCAGAGTCACAAAGAGTTTAGCCATTGTGGGCTTTTGTCTCCCACTCCACACAGAGATGGGTTAGGCACATGCCAGACCTATTGCACATGTTTATAGCGGTAGTAGAAACCGAAGCACCTGGAGGAAACCTTTGCAGGCACAGGGAGAACATGCTAAATCCACTCAGAAAAACCCTGTTCCGACCGGGTGTCGAACCCAGGACTGAGAAGCGAGCGTACTATCCACTCCGCCTACGTGACACCGGGATGTGTACTAACCAAGCACTGCACTGCTTAACATGTGAACTCTGACGGGACCAGGCTTTCTCCAAACAGAGAAGTTCCGCTTTAGATGTGAGAATGATAAACTCATGGATGTGAGTTCGCTTTGAAGAAAGATCACTTTTATTTCAGAAATGTCTGAAAACCTTTTTAACCCTCTGGGCGCCACGGTTGACTTAAGTCGACAACATGCGGTACTGATAGAAACGGCTGATTGTGTCGAGCAGAGAGTCAAAATTCAGTAAAACACTCTGCCTCACTATTTCACTGTATTTCCCAACCCTTTAGTGCGGCACAATCTGAGTTCTGTTTGTGTTTTCATGTCCTAGTGATTTGCATGTCTGTTGGGAAAGAATTAAAAGTATATACAGTATAATAAATCCACAATAGCCATTCAGAATATGCAAATTGAAGTCATAATATGCAAATGAGATGGGTACATTTAATTCCATACGAAGACATTGGACCATCCGTATAATTTATATAATTAACAAAAAGCCATATGTAGCAGTATGTAAGATTTTCATGTCTCGTCATCATTAAAGGGCCCTAATCTGTCCAAAGTAATTAATAAAACATGTTCTTTTCAAATACATCTTTAACTGATAACAGTAGTTCAGAGATATTTGGATTTCAAAATTACTTTTACAGCCCCTAAATCTTGTTATTGTTTTCATTTCGATGTCCCGCCCTCCACCGTTTCACCAATCAAAAAGTCTGTGATCCGGGCGCCAGAACTCACCGTGCCAAGCTAATCTCACTGGTAAAGTACCATGTGACCGCAGAACTGAAAAAGGTCTCGTTACGATTCTCAAATCATTAACGACAAAACAAGGAATAAATCTATCTATCTATCTTTGTGAAAAAGGTGTTGGTTATAGATTTGTTGTTGACAAAACTCTTGTCTATTCAGCTGTTATGGTCCCAGCTGGATTCGTCTGCATATCTGGCAACCTGAGTCAGGGAGAGTGGGAGAGGCTGCAGTACCACTTTTGGCCAGATTTTTACACACTGCTCGTTAAGTTGTTAATAAATGAATATGTCCAAATTGAGCCTCTTGGGAACAAACCTCTGTCGCCTGAAGAGTTTTAACAGTCGTGTGAAAGTGAGGAGCCGTTACCTCTCTGGTGGTGCAGAGGGGCTGGAAGGCGTTGGTTCCGCAGGTCATCACCTCCGTCTTATTCACCAACAAAACACGGATGTAGTTCTGACACTCCATCTGCAAAACACAGTTCTGTGGTTGATACGCCGCGCTCTCACTGCAATATTCATGGTTCGCAGCCCTGAGACGTGTTGCTGCTTTTCTGAGGCCCACGTCAGGTCAAAAAATCAAGGAATGTGTCCCAAAAATGCAATGATTAATGTATGAACGGATTCAGATTTCTGCCCGAGTCTGTGAGTGATGCATTTAGGAGGGCCAGAAGAAACACAAGAAAAACACACAAGTTATCCTCAAGGCAAAATGTCAAACCCTGAAACGGTGTCAAATTATAGTATTTTTGAACAATAAAAGTAGACATAAAAGTCTTAGATCTTTTTTTTTGTTTTTTTTACCATTTATTTTCGCAAGTTTTCTGTAAAAAAAAGTAAACATATACCGGTCTACACGTCTCGCTTCTTTACATATTGCTAGTTTGGTTTGCAGCGTCCATTTGAAAATAATCCCATATTTTCACATACTCTTGTTCCATCCATCCATCCATCCATTTTCTTCCCCTTAATCCATTTCCGGGTCGGGGGGGTGGCAGTCAGAGCTGCACCCAGTCCACAGAGCACCAGCCCCTCACTGATCCTCCTGCAGGTGGTGAGTCCACAGGAGCATACTCTTGTTTTGCCATTTAATTTCATATGTTTTTTTTAACACATTACTGAAAGTGGAGAAAACAAAGAAAAACAAAAAAAAGTTAATATTCACCAGTCTACACGTCTCATTTCATTCCATAGAGTTTGGTTTGCAGCGTCCATTTTGAAAATAATCCCATAATTTCACATACTCTCGATTTACTGTTCTTGTTTACTTTTGTTCACCACTGAGTATAATACAAAGGAGAAAGTTCAATAATTTCACAGTTTTTCTCACTTTTTTGTTTTCACGTCCAGTTGAAAACCCTTTGGTTATTATAAAGGTTAATAAGATTAAGATGAAGAGATCCTTTATTTGTCCCACAGTGGGGACATTTCAGTGTTGCATCACAAGTTACAGAACAGTAGGAGAGAGGAGCACACAGCACAAGTTAAGTGAACAATAGCTAAACTAATTAAAATAAAACAAAATCTCTAACTAGCATCAATAAACAGTATAAAATCTCTATTTTAAAATAATGATAAAAATAAGTGTAATAAAGTTTTAAAATTGGCAATAAGAGGCAAGGAAATGGCATGTTTTACACAATTTTTAAGCTAATTCTCAAGGAAAACAACTATAACAACAACTATATTTTGGAAAAATATCTGAACTCTGGACATTGTTAAAGTAGTACTAGAATGTAATATGCTGCTATCCAGAATATATAACTACAATATGTGTTTATAATATTTTGGGTGTTCATTTTGACATGTTCAGATGAATTATGTTAAAAAAACTGCTTTGAAGTGGCACCTTTTCACTTCCGCATAGAAACTCTAGGGGGAGCCAAAATGGCGGCGATGACGTAGGAGAAGGACCTCTCACAGCAGCAGCAGTCTGGGCTGAAACTGTAGGAGGTTTCACTGTCATCTGAACAAGGTATAAACATATTTTCATTCGTTTTGTACATAATAGTGTGCAACTCTTTTAACCTTTTAGCCTTATTTGTGAGATTCAAGCTAATTAGTGTTGGGCAAGTTAGCTAACTCTACTTGATATCATAAAACATGCTAACAAGGCTAATATTCGTTTTTACCTTATGCCAGTCTCACTTTGGTTGCCTTAGATTTATTTACCACAATGTACATTGTAATATTCAAAAATGCTAACACCTATTAACGGTTTAATTAGCATTTTTATCAATGATTGCATCACATGTAGTCTATGTTTTCAACTTCTGCTGATTAGCATTTATGGATATTACAATGTACATTGTAATATCCATAAATGCTAAGGCAACCAAAGTGAGACTGGCATAATGTAAAAACGAATATTAGCCTTGTTAGCATGTTTTATGATATCAAGTAGAGTTAGCTAACTTGCCCAACACTAATTAGCTTGAATCTCACAAATAAGGCTAAAAGGTTAAAAGAGTTGCACACTATTATGTACAAAACGGATGAAAATATGTTTATACCTTGTTCAGATGACAGTGAAACCTCCTACAGTTTCAGCCCAGACTGCTGCTGCTGCTGTGAGAGGTCCTTCTCCTACGTCATCGCCGCCATTTTGGCGCCCCCTAGAGTTTGTGAAAAGGTCCAACTTCAAAGCTGTTTTTTTAACATAATTCATCTGAACATATCAAAATGAACACCTGAAATATTATAAACACATATTGTAGTTATATATTCTGGATAGCAGCATATTCAATTCTAGTACTACTTTAAGCGTTTTGGGGACCTTGGTCTATAATAATGTGCTATATGAATAACAATGACTTACTTACATTGAATACTAAAATGTGAAATAGTGTTATATAAAGACATAAATCAGTCTTCAGTCACAGTACTTGCTGGACCATAACCTGTAGAAATCGGCAGGTAATGAGTTCAGCTACAAACAGGTGTGTCAAGTTCTGTAATACACTTTTTATCCCATAGCCACTTGGACTAATATGCAAAAATATCTACTTTTTGTGTGTGCTCATAGGTTGCAAGATGCACCCAGGTCAAGGCTCCAAAAGGTCCACGATCATGTGAACTGACATTCGGAAGTCTCACTACAGGCCGGTGGAGGTGTACCCGGAAAGAGAATTACCCAATGCTTTTGTAAGGAGTCTTCTTGGATGGATGGTCCAAAAGTTGCTCTTGATTAAAGGGTTCTAGATGCTGTCGATGCTGGGATTTTTTATGTTTTTTTAGTTTTTGGACCAGTCTAGTTTAGCCGCTGTGGACTTCAGAATGCACTTGTTAAATGAATGTGGCTAGTGTGGCCAATGCAAATGCCTTTTGTCACATTATCCTGCCCCGTGGCCATTTTGAAAAGCCCACAGAAGGCAAAAGTGGTGGCACATTAGTTTCAACACGGACATAGGTGCGATTACGTCTGTTAAAATTTACAGTTTATGGATGCCCCTTTAAATGGATGGCGTCTCCCTGGTCTTTAGTGTAAGAAGACTTTCACAACTTGCTCACACTTTAAACTATGCTAACCACTGGGTAACAAAAACATATTTTTTGAAATAGTTCCAGCTGAACTAATGTTGATGCTCTGAGTCCGAAAATGACCTTGGTTTTGCTCAATCAGGTCAGGATTTTTTGCGAAAGAAATATTTTTTTAAATCGATTTTGCGTAAAAAACACATTTCTGTGGATCATCAGCTGAGAAACCCTTGACGTTTTTTTCCGTTTTCCTCAATAAATAAAATATGCGTATCCAAAGTCATTCAGTTTTTATTTACTCCATCAAATTTGATAAGCAGAATTCATAATAACCTAGACGTACATAATCCGTAACACTATGGCTGTATCTCAAAAAGTTGACCTGATAGAGCAAAAGGCATGTGATATTCGGACTCAGAACACCAACATTAGTCTGAATCAGTTGAGAAACCCCTGACCATTTTTTGGCTGTCAACTTGTGTACTAGCATACTATAGCACTATAAGGCCTGTCTTCTTCCTTTTTTGGTCTCCTGAAGGTTAAAAACCCCCTCGACAGAACACGTACATAGTTCTTTTTTAAACGAGACATTCATTATTTCGCTGAAGCCCTTGTGAATCGTGTAGAAGCAGTTTGGATGGTTCCACAGAGAAGCAGAATGTGTGTGTCTGCTCTATCAGCTGTGAACACTGAGGCCCCAAAGTCCTCGCTCTCCCCCCACTGCCTCTCACACAAGTATGGACTCTTCCTGATGGTCGTTCTGACGTAAACGCAGCCAAAGGAGAAGTTTGAACCGAAGACCAGGCCTGGATTTATCAACGATGAGGAGTTCTTCTTCAGTGTGTGCAGCGTGTGAGAAAGACTTTTGTTTATGCCGACCCCGACCCACCTTATGGGCTGCGCCCCCTGCGTGGCCTTGGTCCTCATTCTGTGGTTTAGGTCCTGGATCTATAGTCCCCTCTCTCAATGAGGATCTCCCCGAGGTTTCTCACTTCACTGGGAGAGGGTTTCTCTCCTCACTGAGAGACAGGGTTTCTCTCCTCACTGCACAGACAGGGTTTCTCTCCTCACTGCACAGACAGGGTTTCTCTCCTCACTGCACAGACAGGGTTTCTCACCTCACTGTACAGACAGGGTTTCTCACCTCACTGCACAGACAGGGTTTCTCTCCTCACTGCACAGACAGGGTTTCTCTCCTCACTGCACAGACAGGGTTTCTCTCCTCACTGCACAGACAGGGTTTCTCTCCTCACTGCACAGACAGGGTTTCTCTCCTCACTGCACAGACAGGGTTTCTCTCCTCACTGCACAGACAGGGTTTCTCTCCTCACTGCACAGACAGGGTTTCTCTCCTCACTGCACAGACAGGGTTTCTCTCCTCACTGCACAGACAGGGTTTCTCACCTCACTGTACAGACAGGATTTCTCACCTCACTGCACAGACAGGGTTTCTCTCCTCACTGTACAGACAGGGTTTCTCTCCTCACTGCACAGACAGGGTTTCTCTCCTCACTGCACAGACAGGGTTTCTCTCCTGACTGCACAGACAGGGTTTCTCACCTCACTGCACAGACAGGGTTTCTCTCCTCACTGCACAGACAGGGTTTCTCACCTCACTGTACAGACAGGGTTTCTCACCTCACTGCACAGACAGGGTTTCTCTCCTCAATGTACAGACAGGGTTTCTCTCCTCACTGCACAGACAGGGTTTCTCTCCTCACTGCACAGACAGGGTTTCTCTCCTCACTGCACAGACAGGGTTTCTCACCTCACTGTACAGACAGGGTTTCTCTCCTCACTGCACAGACAGGGTTTCTCACCTCACTGCTCATAGGCCTCTGTGACCTGTGTCCATGTTGAGGGCCGCCCTCTGTGTCTTTGTTGTGAATCTGATTCGTTTGTGTATTATTTCATCTGTATGTTTTAAATGTGAAGCGCTTTGTGATCCTGGTCTGTGAAAGGCGCTATACAAATAAACTTGACTTACTTACTTACAACATGAATGGACATTGGTCAACTCCCTATGGACCAACACATGTGTTCTATATTCTTTGTTTTTGCACAGTTTGATTCTCTGATCTGTGTTGGCAATTTCACCAGTTTTATTTTGTTCTTTGAGATAACTCCTGTTGTGATTTAGGGCGATACTAACGGCTTATTAACCGAGCGCGAGGTCTGTACAGAGAAATATCAGACCGCTGCCTTAATTTACAGACCAAGCCGTGGCGAGGTCTGTGAAAAAAGGCCAAGGTCTGATAATAATCAGACCTTGGATAATAAAAGCAAAATGTTGTAAACCTATCCTCCTGTTTTTTTTTAAGATCACATGACCTGATTCTGTCTCTATAATGTGATCATCGTTGTGTGACCTGTTTTCTGAAGACACAAATTTGATTCTGTTCAGTATCGCAATATTTTGTGCACCTAATTAAATCAGTAGGGCAAAGTATAGTGACATTACTTTGATAATTTACATTTGTCTTACTATTATATGTCTCAATTTAGATGTGTGTTTGCTTCAGTTCGTGTGCAAACCTTAATACATCTGAGTCGATAATCTTATTTTCCTCCATCTTTGTGAAGTCGTTTAATGATTTGAGGGACATGAATTGTTATATATCACAGAATTACTGTCTGTATCGCAATATGTTAAGAATCGTAATAATATTGAATTGTGGCCCATGTATCGCAATACTATCGAATGTCACACTTTTATAGTCAGAACATTTCTATTGCGCATCTTATATAGCGCAAATATTATTAATAATAGTTGGAGATAAAACATTTTCATATAAACAAAATATAGAAACAAACATATTATATCCTGGAGGAAATTAGTCTTGGCCCACAGCCTGCTACATTGAAAATACACAATGTCTCTCTCTCTGGTCTCTCTGGTCTCTCTCTGGTCTCTCTCTGGTCTCTCTCTGGTCTCTCTCTGGTCTCTCTCTGGTCGCTTTCTGGTCTCTCTCTGGTCTCTCTCTGGTCTCTCTCTGGTCTCTCTCTGGTCTCTCTCTGGTCTCTCTCTGGTCTCTCTCTGGTCTCTCTGGTCTCTCTCTCTGGTCTCTCTCTCTGGTCTCTCTCTCTGGTCTCTCTCTGGTCTCTCTCGGCTCTGTCTCTAGTCTCTCTTCCCGCCCCTAACATACATGCACATATGACCTGTTATAGAGACACAGAGGATGTAGATTACACACACAAGTCTAAACAAAAAATGTACATACTGTCTCTTTACATCAGTGACCTTAGAGGATATTTTTAGCGCCTCTTCCCACCTCAGTGAAGAATGCATTTATCTCACACAGAAAAGCGAGCCCTCCTTAAGTCTGTAATATGTCTTTGTCCCTGGTTTTGTCCCACGAGGCCACACAGAGGCGTGGAGAGGTCCCAGTGTCCCGCGGCAGGACAGGAGGGGCCAGACACGGGGCAGACGGGGTGAAACCAAACGTGTCGGGGGTAAATTGGATTATAAACACGCTTACCTCAGTTTTGCCTTTGCTCTGACAGGACCTCCGCGTGTCATCGTCTGGAGACCACTCTGTCGCCTGGAGAACACACAATGAGAGGCAGGGGTGAGTCAGAGAGGGACCAGAGCAATGGCAGACAAGACACTCGCCACAGCTGTCAAAAAGACTGGTTTTCTACAACATATGCAATAGCAGTTTGTAGGAGGACGGAAAGATTTAGATTCAGTTAGTTTGCCGTATGCAGTAAAACCATATTGGAATACACACGCAAATGTCCCCAAGAAGCTAAAAGTACAGGAATAAAACAAGCTAAAATGCAAAAATAATTGTGGAATCAGATGACAAGAGGTCCATGAGCACAAGCTGCAATCTCAGTCCGGGCTGGTGGGGGTGTACCCGGAAAGAGAATTACCCAATGCTTTTGTATGGCGTCTTCTTTCCTCTCGAAAACAGCTTTACAGGATGGTCCAAAAGTCGCTCTTGGTCCAACGTTCTAGAGTTTTTGTTTGTTTTGGACCAGTTTAGTTTAGCAGCTGTGGACTCTTGAGTACCCGCTAACGAATGAGCAAATGCTGTGGACATGTTCCTGACCTGCGGCCATTTTGAAAAGGCCCCACAGAAGGCAAAAATGGTGGCACATTAGTTTAAAAAGCAGGAACAGGTGTGACTACGTTTGTTAATATTTACAGTCCATGGTGGAGACCTGACCAACAAGTAAGGATTCAAACCACCAGCCTTCAGACCAGACCTAAACTTATTTTTGTATCGGCCTAAATCACAACAGCAGTTATTGCGAGGACTTTACAAAGCTGTTGATTCGCCAACACGGATCAGAAAATCAAACAGCTCAAACTCAGGAAATGCAATGGTAAAAACACAGCCATTGGTCCATAAGGGGCAGAGACCAATGTCCATAAACGTCATCAATGTAGTAGTAGTAGTAGTAATAGTAGTAGTAGGAGTGTCGAAAATCAACCTCACACGGGATCTTTAGGCACCAGAGCAACCTGGAAGTTTATTCTAATTTCCTTCAGTTTTTTCCCGACAGAACCAACTTAACACAAGGCCAGATCTCTTGTATAGCTATTTCCCATAGTAGCAGTAGTAGTGGTAGTAGTAGTAGTAGTAGTTGTAGTAGTAGTATTAGTGGTAGTGGTAGTAGTAGTAGTAGTAGTAGTAGTAGTAGTAGTAGTAGTATTAGTGGTAGTGGTAGTAGTAGTAGTAGTAAGTAAGTAAGTAATCTTTATTTATATACCGCCTTTCACAGACCAGAGTCACAAAGCGGTTTACAATTACAATTATTTTTGGGCACTTGTCCTCTCACTCCACACAGAGACGGGAGCGGGGTCGCCGAACAGGAGGCGCATGCCAGACCTATTGTGCATGTTTTTAGTGGTAGGGGAAACCGGAGGACCCGGAGGAAACCTACGCAGACACGGGGAGAACATGCAAACTCCACTCAGAAAGGCCCTGGTCCGGCCGGGATTCGAACCCAGGACCTTCTTGCTGAGAGGCGAGAGTGCTATCCACTCAGCCACCGTGCCGAGTGGTAGTGGTAGTGGTAGTGGTAGTGGTAGTAGTAGTGGTAGTAGTAGTAGTAGTAGTAGTGGTAGTAGTAGTAGTAGTGGTAGTAGTAGTAGTAGTAGTGATAGTGTAGGCACGTCCCCAAGCCCATTCAAAGGAGCTCAGTGAGTTTTTTTTAGCAGGTGAGGCCACTTTTAAAGAGGCCAAGTCCTGCGGTACCCGGGCCTCCCTCCGGGTCGCTCCCCTCCTTCTGGGTCACATCCCCAGAAGCTCGCACCTGTAAGTCCACCCCTGTTCAGGGAAGCGAGGCGGGATTCTCTGGCAATAAGACCAGGCCAGAGTCAACCGCGAGGCATAGCTTTTTTTCTCACTCAATATCTCCGGGCTCGGATATAAAAAAATAATTTAAAAAAAAGTGGTAGTGGTAGTAGTAGTACTAGAAGTAGTAGTAGTAGCAGCAGCAGTAGCAGTAGCAGCAGTAGCAGTAGCAGTAGTAGTGCAGTAGCAGTAGTAGTAGTGGCAGTAGTAGTAGTAGTGGCAGTAGGAGTAGCAGTAGCAGTAGTAGTAGTAGTAGTGGCAGTAGGAGTAGTAGTAGTAGTAGTGGCAGTAGTAGTAGTAGTAGTAGTGGCAGTAGGAGTAGTAGTGGCAGTAGGAGTAGTAGTAGTAGTAGTAGTAGTAGTAGTAGTAGTAGTAGTAGTAGTAGCAGTAGGAGTAGCAGTAGCAGTAGTAGTAGTAGTAGCAGTAGGAGTAGTAGTAGCAGTAGCAGTAGTAGCAGTAGTAGCAGTAGCAGCAGTAGCAGTAGCAGTAGTAGCAGCAGCAGTAGCAGCAGTAGCAGTAGCAGCAGCAGTAGCAGCAGTAGCAGTAGCAGTAGTAGCAGTAGCAGTAGCAGTGGTAGTAGTAGTAGTAGTAGCAGTAGCAGTAGTAGCAGTAGCAGTAGTAGCAGCAGCAGTAGCAGTAGTAGCAGTAGCAGTAGCAGTAGCAGTAGTAGTGGCAGTAGGAGTACCAGTAGGAGACAGAAGAGAATTATCCCGGTGCAGAGGTTAGCGACTGAAGCTAACACCAAAACACACCAATGACCTGTAGCTGCCTCTGTTTATGGTGTAACCAGCGAGAGTGCGGCGCCAGCGGCTTATTCGAGTCCAGCGCTCGGCCCAAACAAGTCCTGCTCAAGAGCCTGGATTAGCATACAGATGAGGCCACAGCCGCGCTCCACAGCCGCTTTGTCAAGACGTTTGCAACACTGTTCTGTCGCTTTGATCATGAACGGCTTGGTTTTTGTCTGATGCCGAACAGCGAGGTCAGAGACGAGACAGAGAGAAGCCGGTAAAGGCTGCAGTGAAGCGGGAAAGTTTGTAAAACGTCCAATGAAAAAAGGAGGACGTTAGAGTAAGTCTCAGAGTAGACTTTAAAGCAGCTGTGTTTATTGCTCCAAGGCCTCGCACAAAAGTACATCTGTGACACAGGGACTGGTCTCCTGCTGGGACTCAGAGGAGCACAGGGACTGGTCTCCTGGGGGGACTCAGAGGAGCACAGGGACTGGTCTCCTGCGGGGACTCAGAGGAGCACAGGGACTGGTCTCCTGCGGGGACTCAGAGGAGCACAGGGACTGGTCTCCTGCGGGGACTCAGAGGAGCACAGGGACTGGTCTCCTGCGGGGACTCAGAGGAGCACAGGGACTGGTCTCCTGCGGGGACTCAGAGGAGCACAGGGACTGGTCTCCTGCGGGGACTCAGAGGAGCACAGGGACTGGTCTCCTGCGGGGACTCAGAGGAGCACAGGGACTGGTCTCCTGCGGGGACTCAGAGGAGCACAGGAACTGGTCTCCTGCGGGGACTCAGAGGAGCACAGGAACTGGTCTCCTGCGGGGACTCAGAGGAGCACAGGGACTGGTCTCCTGGGGGGACTCAGAGGAGCACAGGGACTGGTCTCCTGCGGGGACTCAGAGGAGCACAGGGACTGGTCTCCTGCTGGGACTCAGGCTGAGTTTACACGGAGACAATGTGGCAGTAAAACGGTATAATTGGATGTCGGTTTCTACCGTTCATACGGAGACTGTGTTCCAGGGGGGTGAAAACGTAAGTGTTCAGATCCAGCCTGCAGAGTGGGACAACTGAAACGCTGCACAGCGGGGGCTCTTTCACACCCGCGAGAGGGGAAAGGTGTGAAATCCCCCTCTGCTCTGACCCCCACCTCCGCGCTGCTCCCGGCACGTAAATTTGGACATGCGCAGTAGCGGAGAACAAACATAAACAATAATGGCGGCCGGTAAACTAACTAGCTTCGTGGGTTTCCAGCGCGGCACAGAGGATCATTCTACTCTTTCGTTCGTCCAAACGAGACCACGCGAAGCTCTAGGTTCAGTTCCCATTTTCACAGCTGCTGTTAAAATGCAGAATGATGTTGGTACTTTCTGAGGGTCTGGCACAGGAAGTGAATATACTGCCGGGAGGGGGGCTGGGGGTCGGGGTTGTGTTGTAAAGTTTCTCTGCCCACTACTGGCCGGGCGCTAGAACTACATCGTTTTTCAACCTCATGTGAACGCTGAGAAATTTGCATTAGGAGCCTGGTCGTTTCTGTTAATAGCCTGGAAACGTCTGCGCAGCGTCTCAGTATAAACAGGGCCTCAGAGGAGCACAGGGACTGGTCTCCTGCTGGGACTCAGAGGAGCACAGGGACTGGCCTCCTGCTGGGACTCAGAGGAGCAGAGGGACTGGTCT